CTTCCTTCCTTCCTTCCTTCCTTCCTTCCTTCCTTCCTTCCTTCCTTCCTTTTTTTTCTTTTCTTTTGATTTTTGGAGACAGGTTTTCTACAAGTAGTTTTGGTACCTGTCCTGGATCTCACTCTGTAGACCATGCTGGCCTTGAACTCACAGAGATCAGCTTGTCTCTGCCTCCTGAGTGCTGGGATTAAAGGTGTGCGCCACTGCTGCCCAGCAAATCCTATTTCTTTTAACTAAAGGAATTCCATTAGATGCATTGCCAGGGGGGCTCTTTGCCCTCAGCCCCTTCATATTCAATTTCCCACAAGAAGAAATAGTGTGGGTGGGTGGCTGAAATGTTTTCTAGATGATCACTTACCTCCCGGGACATAGATATAGTCTGTAGGTATGAACTCAGTATGGTTGTGGATTCATGATCTTGAGGTTTAATCCTTCCCTATCCTTTGACTTATGGTATAACATTGGTCTGTTAATGGGCACTTATTTTCTAGTACAATCTGATAGATGAAATGCTGTCTTCTCTCTGTCTAATATCGCATAGCTTTATGACCATGCATTATTTTACATGAGAAGTGTCTTAAGTCTTATATGGCTCCCTTAGAATAATGGCATATCCTAAGGACAGAATCCTACGTCAGTATGAATTCTATAGAAGAAGGAAAGAAAAGACACCATTTGATTGTGGGGTCCGAGGGTTAGGATAGAAGCTAGGAGGAAACACACAGGACCATTAAATCCCTACTGCCCCATGCTGACCTGCTGACTGGAGCATCGCTCCTGTGCACTGTACCTTGACTGTCCATAAAGAGCTTTTTAGAAAAGGGCAGGAGAGTTCAGTCTCTTCCTAGAAATTGGGTAAATACCAACATTCCACCATTGTTGGTGGTTATCATCATTATTATCCATGCTGGGGATAGAACCTAGGGCCTTATATATGCTAAACATTTGCTTTACCACTGAGCTACACCCCCAGCCCTAATACTAACATTCTAATGTTATGACTCATCAGATTGGTCCCTGTACCAATAGCCTGGAAATATATGTCAATTAACGTGTTGTTGGTTTGAAGAATATTCATTCTATTTTCTATAGGAAGAGCCTTTTGTGATGGTGGCTGAGAACATCCTTGGACAGCCCAAGCGTTACAAAGGGTTCTCCATAGATGTGCTGGATGCATTGGCTAAGGCTCTGGGATTCAAGTATGAGATATACCAGGCCCCTGATGGCAGGTATGGTCACCAGCTCCATAACACCTCCTGGAACGGGATGATCGGGGAGCTCATTAGCAAGGTAAGTTCCAGGATCAGGACCACAAAGAGGGGCATTCCAGTATGTCTCTAAGAGCTATCTAAATTTGACCCATTACATAGTCGAGTCCTTAGGACTACACTGAAGCATCCTTTTCCTCTCTGTCTTCCATGATATGCCTGTTTCTGCTCTTTTATTTTCTCATTCACTGACAACCCTGACTTTTCCCTTCTTGTACATTGCTCATTCCTTTGGGGCCTACTTCCTATAATAAACCTTCTCTATAACTCACCCTTTAATAAACCACTTACATTCTTGGACTGAAGTGGGAAACTTACCCTCCACCCCCACCAAGGAGTTCTGCTGAGTGCTTTTTCTTTCATGTCTTACAAACCACAAGTATAGTATACACCCATGCAAATGTGAGTGTGCAAGTGTGAGTGGACATGTTCACATGTTGGCTTTGTTGTGTGTTGAAGGTATGGCATCCCCACATATCTTACCTTTCACATCGTTTCCTTTCTCCTATCTGCAGAATATATCTTCATTGACACTCATAGCATGAAGACGATTCATCATCTCTCAGTCTTGTTCCTGATACTTCATTTCCTCACAGTTATTTACAATGGCGACTCCCTCTCTAATATAACTGCTTCTACCAACCTTGACAATTCCTGGCATTGCTGTGGACAGCCCAGGACTCATAGTGCCTTGTCTCACTCCAGTTATCTTTAATGTAACCATCCCCCTCTATCTTATTAACATCTTGCAAGGCACCCTTTGTGCTGATTTATGACCACAACTGTTGTCCTTCTGATTGTTCTGGGGGGTGGGGGCGGTTCTTTCTCCTGAACACAGGATCTTGCTTTTTAAGCCTATGTAGGAAGATACTAGGCCTATTACCTTGCCATAGTCCATTAACTTTTTTTGTAAAAGCAACTCTATTGTAGTAGAATTTAGAGTCTATAAAAATAACCCACTTTAGATCTTCATTTTAATATTTAGTAATTGTACAGAGTTTGTGCAAGTGCTACTGTATTCTAGTCTCAGAGCACTTCCATGATCACATTACAGTCCCTCTTTGATAGTTACAGCTAATTCATTCTTACTCTCATCCCTTGGTCTTCCTGTTTCCTCTAGAGCAGTGGTTCTCAGCCTTCCTAACACTGCGACCCTTTAATATAGTCCTCATATTGTGGGGACCCCCAACCATAAAATTATTTTCATTGAACTTTATAACTGTGATTTTGCTGCTATTATGACTCATAATATAATTATCTGATATGAAGAATATTTGATATGCAACCCCTTTGGGGGTTGAGACCCACAGGTTAAGAACCACTGCTTTATAGAGGTGCAGTTGGGAACATTGTTTATATATGAAGGAATATCATACGTGGTCCCTGGTGTGCGGCTCTTTCCACTTGGCATACATACTTGAGATGTATCCATTTTCTATGTTTCTTGTACCCTTTTGACACTGTAGCCTTCCCTAACCTGTGTACCCTCTGTGGTCAACCACACAAACGCTTGTACAGTTCATTTCATATGATTTTCTGTGTCCTTGATTTCTTGTTGTATACAAGTCTTGAATCAATGTTGTTATGAATCCTCAAAGTACTCATCCAGGTTTCTACATGAAATCTAAAAGTCTATCCAGATTAACTCGTGGATGTGTGTGCTCTCTATCCTCAACTGTCTACTGTTTTCATTTGTTGGATGCCATGACTACATCCCTCAGATATGCTTCAGAGGTTTTCTTTTCCTCCTCAAGAAACCTAATAACCTTTTTCCTTCTCAAAGGAAAAACTAGTTATCCTTCTATATTTGAGAAATAAATTGAGACTTCTGGGTATGAAAGTCTACTTACTGTGAAACACACCCTATAAGTTCAGGGCCTCCACTGCTAGTAGGGGAATATCTCTCCCCAGTGGCAGGAAGCTCAGACCTGCATTTCCAGTTGGTTTCAGTGAGCTTCCTCTGGATCTTGATTCATAAATGAGTTCTCCTTTCATCCTATGCTAATAACCTCCCCTGATCCAACTTACTCTTTAAATCTTTTTTTGAACTTTATTTTAAAAATACTACTTTTGTGTGTATTGTATGTGTATTATGGGTATGTAGTATATGCATTCACACATACACCACTGAGTCCATATGGAGGCCAGAGGACAACTTGCAGGAGTCAATTCTTTTCTTTTCTTCTACTATATGGGTCTTAGGGATTATACTCAGGTTGTCAGACTTGGTGGTAGGCCTGTGCCTGCTGAGCCATCTCGGAGGCCCTATCTCTCAGCTCTATAAATATGGTACAGCCTTTAAAGAGATTCCTAAATCTTTGGTTCATGAGAGAAAGACAAGATTCAGACATGCTCTGGCATAGGCACCTTCAACATTTTTTTCCAATATTATTTTAGGTCAGCAATTCTCAACCTGTGGGTCTTGATCCCCTTGGGGGACAAATGACCCTTCCACAGGGGTTGCCTAAGACCACCGGAAAAACACATATTTCCATTATGATTCATACCAGTAGCAAAATTGCAGATATAGGATAGCAATGAAAATAATTTATGGTTGGGGGTCACCACATGAGGAAGTGTATTAAAGGTGCTGAAGGGTCACAGCATTAGGAGCCCCTGCCCTAGCACACAGTGTGCACATAAAACAAGAAAGGCAGCAACATGCCCCAGACAGTAAGAACACTTGCTGTTCAAGTCTGAAGGCCTAGGTTTGACTTCCAGAACCCATGTCAAGATCGGAGAGAACCAATACCTGAAGTTGACCTCTGACCTCCACACATGTACCTGCCCTCACACCCCTCTCTGTCTCTCTCTTCCTCTCACACACACAAATAATCAATGAAAACTTTAAAAATCAATGAAGAATATTTTTTGAGGTTGAACACACTTGGACAATCATTTAACAGAATTCTGAAGTATTTTAGAAGTGCAGTCAATGGAGGTGGGATAATGGAAGTGGCAGAAGCTTGCTGGAGAAATAGCTGGTACCTGCCCTCGCTATGCAGGGAGGATACAGATTAACCTTGAAGGAAGAAGGATGTCCTTGGTAGGAAGTAGAAGGCCAAGGTGCCCCTTTTGATTACTCGTCTACTTAGTGCTGACTTTCAGTGTTATGGCATTTTGACTGGAACACAGGCAGAAAGGAGATAAAGTTTGCTAGGTGGAATGATAAGAAAAGAAGCAAGTGGAATTCATGGGAAGTAAAGATCCTTTACTGAACTTTATTATCTAGAAGAATGTTGTAGGAGGTTTTAGGTCCAGGGAGAGACATCTGTAAGATGAAGGAGGTAATAAACAACATGGTGTTAGATTGTCCTTATGTTCTCTGTATTCTCAGGGGTCAGCTCTCAAACCCATTGCCTCTGAGCAGATCTTTGAAATGAGTAGAAGGTGGACCTTGACCTAGGGTAGAAATCAGCAATGAACTGAAAGTCACTTCTCATGAACTTCTTTGTCTCTCAGAGAGCAGACTTGGCCATCTCTGCTATCACCATCACCCCAGAGAGGGAGAGTGTTGTGGACTTCAGCAAGCGATACATGGACTACTCGGTAGGGATCCTCATCAAGAAGCCTGAGGAGAAAATCAGCATCTTCTCCCTTTTTGCTCCCTTTGATTTCGCCGTGTGGGCCTGCATCGCCGCTGCCATCCCTGTGGTTGGTGTGCTCATATTCGTGTTGAACCGGATACAGGCTGTGAGGGCTCAGAGCACTGCCCAGCCACGACCCTCTGCCTCCGCCACCCTGCACAGTGCCATCTGGATTGTCTATGGAGCCTTTGTTCAGCAAGGTACCTTCCCAGTCGTCTCTTGTCTGAAGAGCCCTGGGGGCCCGAAAAAGCTTATCCTCTGGTAAAATTCTCAGATGCATATCACAAAAGTCATTTTAAATGTGATTTTATTTGATCTCAGGACATTGCCAATATCAGGCTGCACTCGGTTTTTCTAAGCAATACCAGGTGGAAATTAAATAAAGCAACAAAGATTCCCAACTTTCATTCCTGATTCTCCATTTTAGAGAAAATTAACTTTGGATTTCAGTGTATTTTCCTCCCCTCCCATGTTAGATTGATTGCTATGCATGCAAGGTTGTCAAATGGAACGCTGCACAAACATTCACATAGTGCAGCAATCTGTAAAGTGCTACTCCAGCTATTCTTGAAATATAATGTCTCCTACCTTCCAGAGGCCTGGTAGCACTTCTGTCTAGTGGTGAGTTTCAGGATTGTGCAATTTTGACCAGAAACAAATTGCAAAGTTCTTAATGTGAATCTCAGCCCTGCGAGCATCATGGCAAAATCTTTTCAAGGTTACATAAGGAGAATAGGGAGAGAGATTTCTTCTACTACCACCTAAGGGACCAAAGAGAAATAATTGGCTACAAAGAGGTAGTGTCTCACTGACTGCTACATGCAGTGCTTTCTGAGAATCCCGAAGGGGAAAATCATCCAGTGAGGGCAGCTGAATATCAATAAAAGTGATATGGGAGATCTCATTTCTCTGAGTTAAAAGAAAGCTAGGAGGCCTCCAGGTAGGAAGAAATTCTTTATTTACAGAATTCCTAAGTGTTCTCCATGTGAATTTGAAATTGCCAAAGATCTTATATTGGGCACTAGCTCTGGAAGTTCTTGCCACAATGAGATAGAACCTTGTAGCTGGAAGACTTGGTGTTATGACAAATTTCTCATCACTAGATTCCAATCTCAATTTCCCTGCTTTTTACCATCCTCTGGCCTTTCCCCATATTGGTGGTTTTAAGAACATTTCCTTAAAAAAAAAGTTCTGTGCACAAGTAATAGCAGACTTTGACCTTGGCCAAGGAGGGCAGAATCTTGCTGGAGGTCAGAGTGAGAGGAAGGCACAGCTAATCTCTCTGCATTCTGCAGGTGGCGAGTCTTCTGTGAACTCTGTGGCCATGCGCATCGTGATGGGCAGCTGGTGGCTCTTCACCCTCATTGTATGTTCCTCCTACACAGCCAACCTTGCTGCTTTCCTTACAGTGTCCAGGATGGACAACCCCATAAGGTACGTCTGCTCCTCCTTGATCTACATCAGCTCTGATGTAGTCTTGTTGAGGCGGCCCGATGGTGTAGAGAGAGGCACCAGGCAGAGACATACTCAGACACGGGCTCTGAAGGGAACGTTTAACGTGAGAAGGGCTCCAGTCCTGCAATTTGTTGTAGTCATGATTACATAAATATATAAATTAAATTTATCTGAACATTTAAACATTGATTATAAAACTAATAAACTGAAACACAAAATTAACAAATTAAATTTCCTCAGACTTTTAAAAATAGAATGTAACCACATGTAATCAAAATTTTATCAACATTCATTTAAAATTAATTAATATCACAAGTCCAATATATTTTCAGATCTTCAAAGATCTTAAAATTATTTTTTAAAAACATGCCAGTTGGGCCCTGGAGATGGCAAGTTGGTAAAGATGGCAGTGGTCAAGGCTGATGACCTAAATTCAATCCATGGCACCCACATGTGGAAGGAAAAAACCAGATCTTCTGACCTTTACATGCATGCCAAGGTAAACATGTAAACACACACACACACACACACACACACACACACACACCAAATATTTGTTTTTGCTTATATTCATAAAATTATAAGAGTTTTATCAAGAGTGAATTCTTGTTTTATTTAATTAAAATATAATTTCAGGTATGACTTTCTTCCTTCATTTTTGCAAAATGTTAAAATTATACAATGAGAGAATAAATTCAATGTCAAAGTTACTCTTGAAAATGCCTTAATTATGATCAGATTCTCAGATGCAGTGCAAATTACCAAAAACAAACAAACACACAGAAAACCACATACCACCACAACAGAACAAAGGCACAAAGTAAATGTGTATTAAACCTGAAGGTGCCCAGGTGAGAGCAGGCCTGGATGTGCCCAGTACTTAGCTGGATAGCATAGTGATTCCAGTATGGCCTCTCCCCTGGGCTCTGCTGTGAAGTTCCTGCTTTTCCTAATGTTTTCAGTTCACTGTATCACTATCAACCTCTTGGTTCTTTTGCTCTCCTCATGTATGGAGTTTTCTGTTTCAATCTGTTTCTTTTGCTCCCAACTGCCTATTTAAGAATTCAAATTCCTTGACTAGGACTCAAGATTCAGTTTGATATTATCTGATATCATTATGAAATTGACATTTTAACTGCGATAATTAGAGATTCATATGCAGTTGTAATAACACAGAGAGGTCTCCTAGGCTCAGCCTAGTTTTCCCCAATGCAACATTTAGCAAAACTGTAGTATAGTATTACAATCAGGTATTGATATTGATATGATTGACTGGTTTTATTTAGATTTTCCATTAAATATGCTATATAAGTAGAATTGTGCACTTTGACTGTGGCTTTTTTTGTTAGCCTGATTCCTCAGTGACTCTTGCAGGTTGCTGGTGTAGTCATAGTTCATCGCCTCTCAGTGATGAGCGCATTCCATGTACTACAGTTTGTTTAATCATCCACCCATTGGAGGACATCTGGGCTGCTTCCAGTTCTTGGCAATTATGAATAAAGCTACTCTGAACATTTTTGTAGGTTCTTGTGTGAACATAAGGTTTCATTTACATGCAATCATTATACAAGAGTGCAATTGCTAGGTTGTATGACAATTGAATGATGAATTTGATAAGAAACTGTGTTGGCATTTAGTGTTGTTTTCAGTTTTTATTTCTTTATTCTGATATGTAGAGTGATGTTTCATTATGGGTTAAATTTTCATTTTCCTAATGAGCAACAATGAATACTTTTTCTATGCTTATTTACTTATACATCCTTGTCAAGAAAAATCTGATTTTAATATTTTACTTCTTTTCTAATTGGATTGTTTGAGCCCTGCCATTGACTTTGGAAGGTTCCTTGGGTGTTTTCTATTTATATATTTTTTACATATTTTATCAAATGTACTTCTTCATCTGATATGTGATTTGCAAACATCTTATTCCACTCTGTAGCTTGCATTTTAAATCTCTTAACAGGATCACAGAGAAAAGTTTTCAATTTTGATGAGGTCTAATTTAGAAAGTATTCCTGGACCAGTCAGGATTTTGACATCATCTTAGCCTGGCATAAGATGTTGGAGATTTTCTCCTTCCTAAAACTTTTATAGTTTTATATTTTTCAATGTGGTCCATACCAATTTTACATTAATTTCCATATTTGGATTGAAGTTCGTGTTGAAGTGGGTTTTTTTTTCTTTATTCATTTATCCAAGCATTATTTGTTAAGCAGTATGGACTAGGTATGGTTGAGAGAAGTTTAGATAACAACATTGTACAGGAGAAAGCCCCTGCTCTGGAGGGGACAATAATGTAAAAAACAGGGTATCCCGAGTGCTGTGGGGGAAAGATGAGGCAAAACACTACAGTAGTATGAAGGTGAAGGTATTTCTTCAGATGGAGTGGTCCTCAAGGCTCTCCTACCTCAAGAGCATGGTGTGATTGTGTGTATGTGAATTGTGAATGTGGTAATTTGGGCTGAGATTCACCACCAAGTTCAATGAAACCTAGGGATCTGTGCTGTTGGTTTGGAAACAAAGGCTTAGAGGCTTTCTATCTTAATGTTTGACATTAGAATCACTCACTACTACCAGATACGGACTCAGTGTTTAAGCAACAGATTGGGGTGTTCATTGACAAGCTTTTTTTTTTTTAAACTGCATGAATGTGTTTCCTTTTTTGAAAAGAAAACTTGAAATAAACAACTTTAACCATCATTTGGAAAGAATTAGTCCTTGGCATAGAACTGTTTATAAACCAAGATACCTCTGCCAGGAACACTGTAAATGTAAAGTCTTCAGTGCCCCCAAGGTGAAAAGCTGTCCTTTCCATTAACTATACTATTTAGAGACAGAATAAAGCTTAATAACACATCTCATGATTACTGTGTGGACATGTGTTAAAATCTACAGTCCAAGCAGTTTCAAGTATAAGGTCTGGTATCATTAGCTATAGCCACCATTGTGTTCATTAGATCTGCAGAACATATTCATCACACCTTAATGAAAATCTACACTCATTTACACCTTATCCCTCCTGGTTATCATTCTACTCTCTGCTTCCACGAGTTAGACATTTTAGACTAACATATAAGAGAGATCATGAAAAAATATTTGGCTTTCTATGTCTGGGTTTTTTTTCAATTTGACACCCTCTAGGTTTTCATAAATGACAATGGTTCCTTTTTTTAATCTCTGAGTAACATATGTGAGTTCTATCAATATCTATCTGTCCTGTCTATCATCATGTATGTTTTAGTCTCTTTAACCATTCGTCTGTATGGGAAGTTTTCAGTTGATTCCCTGTCTTGGCCATAGAGAAAGATGCTGCAATGAACATAGGAATATGATTTATCTTCAAGATTGCAACCTCATTTCTTTTAGTCATAAACTGAGAAGTTGGGTTATCAGATCATATATAATTTCTAGATGTATTTTATGAGGACTCTGCACTTTTCCATATTCTATACTAATTTGTATTCTTACCAACAGTACACAAAATAGCCATTCTAATGGGTAGCCTTTGAGTTCTATTTATTTGATAATTAATACTATTGAACATTTTATTTTCATATGCATATGGGCAATGTGTATTTTGATAAGCATTTATTCAGGTCCCTCATATATATTGGTTTATTTGATGTGAAATTTTGCTGTTTAACTGGCCTCAAATTTGCCATCTTTTTGTTTCAGCCTGATGATGATGCTGGGAATAGAAATTTGTGTCACTATGCAAAGGCCCTCTGACTGTGTATAAATCCAGCTATTTGTTTTCTTGCTGTTGAATTGTTACTTGTTTATATATTTTGAATTTTAACATATAACCAGATGCATGGTCTTCAGATATTTTCTATCACTACACAGGCTCTTTATTTATTCTGTACAATGTTTTCTTTGCTAAAGATTTTTAGCTTGTTATAATTTTATATGTTTATACTTTATATTTGCTGTTGTTATCTTTACTTTTGGGGTCATTCAAATAAGAAATAAAATAAAATCATTAGCTAGTCCAATAACAATAGCTTTCTGCAGTTTCTTTTGGAAGTTCTGTATTTTCAGATTTTACAGTTTAGACTTAATTCATTTTACACATGATGGGAAATGTTCTTCTTCGCATGTGGAATACCCAGTTTCCCAACACCAAGTGTTGAAAAATAAGCCTTCTCCAACATGTATTCTTGGCAGCATTGTTCAAGATCCATTACCTATGAGTGCGCAGGTTTATTTCCAGGTTCTCTGTTATCTTATACTGATCTGTCTGTATCTTCTGTACCGATATTACACTGCTTAGGATTACCCTAGTTTTGTAGATTACTTTGACATAGGTAATGTGATACCCCATGTTTATCTATGTTTGTTACATTCCTCAAATTGATTGGGTGGTTTCTGTTGATGAGCAGGGATTTCAGAGTCATTTTTTTTCTATCTCTATGAAAAATGACTTTTGATTTTTGATAGGGTTGCTTTTGTTTTACCAATCACTTTTGGTAGTATTTTCTTTTAGAGAGAGAGAAATAAGACCTAGTTCATTCTACAACCAAATTTGAGTGTCTGTGGCTCAATTGTCATGTGTCATGTGACCCAGGAACACAGATTTAGGTTATCCTAAATTGCATCTCTGATGTACCTATCAATGTATTTTAGTATAGATATATTAATGTTAGTGATTATTTCAATCTATGAACACAGGATAGTTTTCCATATATTTCTATCATTTGCATAATTTTCGCTTGTCTCTTCTAGTTTTCAGAGTATACATCCTTCACCTCCTTGGCTAAATTTACACCTAAAAGCATTTGATGCTTTATTCTTGATTCATTTTTCATATAGCTCATTGTTAGTCTATGCAAATATAAATTTCACATGCTAATTTTATATTTTTGTTCTATTATTGCATTTCATGTGCATGGGAGCTTTGTCTGCACATGTGTAACATGTTAACTTTATGTCTTCAAATTTTCCTTCATTCCTGTATTGATTCTCATACTTAATTGATT